CGATCTGATAAATGACTGTGAACTAGTTCACGGTCATATTTGATCAATTTGAATTTGGTTTGATCAATTATTTGATCAAATTTTACTTGATCAAATATTTGATTTCAAACTCAACTTTTGATTTGCTTTTGTGGAGCACTATTTAATACATATACATAATTTAATTTAATATTTAAATTTAAAATTTATTATCACCCGAAGCAAGTAAGCAGCAAAGGCTCAGACAATAACGAAATTGCAGAGAAATTTGGGCAAGTTTAGAGTATCAGACTTACGTAATTTTAAGAATTTCCTTTGTTTGAATAATAATAAGTCTGGACACCATAATTGAAGTATATTTATTGATGCACAATTAATAATTATAATATTACCAATTATATGAGATATTTAAATACCAAACACAGTGTTATTAATGTCGCTATTTGGATTTTTGAACTATGGTTATTTACCCAGTTTGAGTCAAGTTATAAGATATCGGATTAGTTAAATAACTTCAATGTCCAACGATATGCATAGTTCTATAAATATAAACTCATCTTATTAGTTTAGAATCATACAATTACACATTTTAGATATCTGCACGTTCAATTGTATTGATTCAGTTAATGAATTAAATAACTGAATCATTAGTTCAAATAGTTAATTAACATTGTCTCAGTTAAATTAACAATACTGACTAAACATGAATACATGCATCTTATTGATTAGCGTTTTTTAAATAGATTTGTAAAGTTCAATGACATCTATTGATATATTTATGCACTGTGATTTTGACTAATTTATTTATCTTTTTGTTTCAGTTTATATAAAAATATATTATAACAAAGTATTTTAAGAATTCTATTTTTGTTAATTATTCATAAACAGTAGAGTATCCAGAGGACTGCTGCTCTAACTGACAAATTTTGCTGCAATTACTGTTAGATTTGTGAATTCTGCGGTGGTATATAAATAATACTTTAAAAACAAAATCACAACAAAATCACAACAAAAAAAAATTTTAATTTTATCACAATAGACTATGTTCTCCAATCATTTATTTCTACTTGAGCAGGCAAAACTGCGCCAAAAGCAGAATTCTGTGCAAATTCTGCTGCCGCAGACTCTTGAACACTCTAATAAACAGCAACTAGAATTTGAGATATGTTGTATTCTGCATAACAGTAGAAGAGACCTGAATTAAGGAAAAGAATCAGTGGCATAACAAAAAAAAAAAGATCACTGAACATTTATCACGCTTGGTAGGTGAATTCGAAATTGATCTCATGATCACGTGTACTATTGAGGTTTAATAATAATTTGAAATCAGTTAGAAGGCAATTAAGTAATTAAGGGCACTTTAAGCAAAAACTCAGTTCTTTTTCTAAGCAGATAATGTATTGAATCAGGTATATATATACATATTTACATAATTGTCCAATTATTTTTCTGCATATTATAATTGATCTTTTGGTCTATGAAACAACCCATAAAATACTCATGAGCAATCCATGAAAGCACAAATGGTCAAACAATGGATATCTGCTTAGGGAGAGGTTCGAATTAGAGTGTCTAGATACTGCTGCTCTAACTAAAAAATTCTGCTGCAATTATCATTAAATTAGCAAATTCTGTGGTGACGTATAAATAATACTTTAAAAAACAATATTACAACAAAAAAAAAATTCCAATTTGATTACAATAGACTATATTCACCAATAATTTTTATTCTGCTCGCAGAATTCTGTACAAATTCTATGCAGATTCTGCCCTGAACACTCTAGTTCGAATTTTTTGCTTAACAATACCCATTATTAATTGCTAGAAATGAACTATTGATTTAACAATTTGTTAAATACATATATACTAAAAATAAAAATAAGAGAAATTAATAGTTTTAAAAATGTTTTATAAATATATAACTTTTGAACTTTTGACAAATTAATTTGTTCTTTTCTTATAGCACACATATATCCAAGTATTAAAAAAATGCTTTCTTATATTGCTTTCATAGTTGTTATTATCACTGTGAAAAGTAGTCAACTATGTTCGCAAAGTTTGGCCAAATACAAACTCCCAATGAAACATTTCAAACAATTTGGTGGAAATATTTTTTTTCTATAAATGATCCACCACAAATAATTACAACCGATGATATCATATTTTTTTCAGGAAAATACATAATCGAAAATTCTGAACAGTGTCTTACTGTTTCATATGCAAGCATTCTTGGCACTAATCACGAATCTAATATTACCAATATTTTCAATATTCCTTCATGTGTACCACACTGTATATTTTCAGCATTTTTAACTCGCGCTCCAAAAAAAGTCAGATTTTATTCATTTCAGGATAGAATGTCTTGAGTATAATTCAGTTACCAGTACAGCCAATGTTAAAATGCAAATGACTGCCTTTTATCACTCTCAATCAACTAGATTTGAAAAATATTTAGGTCCTTTAGGATCTTATATTAAATTAAGTCATAATTATCTTATTTCGGGTCTTATCAAATTTTTGGCATCTGGAAAAATAATGATAGAAGCAACGGATGTAGACCATTTAAAAACTTTAAATATGAATAATAATATATTTGAAAGTTCTCCTTCGACAATGTCTAATACTAAGTCAATAATTAATATCATCAGTAATGATATCGAATTTTCAGTTAAACCTGATACTAGTACCACCTATAAAGATATTCAAGAATCCCAAAAAAAGAACAATCAGATCACAAAAATAAAGCGGTTATTAATTTAGACAAAGATGATCATCAATCCAAGAGAAGAAAGTATTAGAATGGTAATAAAAAAAAATAAAATGATAAAATAATTAGTTGAGAATATGTATGCAGATCTAATTGTTTCTAAAATAAAACATTTAATAGCTCATATACTAATACGCATATAGTATAGTATAAATAGTATTTATAAGATGTATACGATTTTGAAATGTCTATAGAAGTTATTTTAAAACCAGATATACTATTTCTAGAGATCAAATTTTTCGAAATAGTGTCTAGACCATTATTTTGAAAATTTACAGTACATTTACTTTAAAGAATTCAAGTGCTAATAATACTTTATTGTTTTGTGTTTGTTATATGAATTTTATTCTGATGTTTAAGTTAAATTCTTCTTCGAATATAATGCAAAGCAAATATAAAAAGTTTGGTACTAAACAAAATATAAATAGCAGACAGCAAAACGATAATGATAACTAATGATCACAAGTTAACAATAACAATAATCTCAACTTTTTTAGCCAATCAAATACTTCTGGCCCGTCAGATGGCCCACGGGCCAGACCGGCCCGTGGGCCATGCTGGCTCGTTTGAACTCAATTTGAATAAGTATTACGAGCTATTGAAATGACTAGTATGTTGGTAGTATGCACAATGAATTATATAATAATGCAATTATCAGGGTCAAACTCACTAATAAAAATTCACTTCCAGGTTTTCACTCTCATGCACTCATATGCAACCTATTTCTCAGTTGATTGTCTACATGTGCACTAATCCTGACCGATCTTGTGTTTCTGGAATTAGATTATAATGATTTTGTATTTGTTAGAATCGCCTTACTGAGATGATCATTTTGATAGTAAAATCGTCTAAAACAGACTGGTGAATCAAAAGTTATTCGATGCCAAAGATATTTTACATAGTAATTTAAAAATTACTAGTAAAATCATACAAAAGTTTAACGATCTCGGAATCCTGTAATCAGACTTTAATGATTTTAGACTTTTTGGAATCGTCACATTGAGACAAACATTTTGGTGATAAAATCATCAAAACCGGATCAGTAGATCAAAAGTTATTGCCAATATCACAAAGTAGCTAATATAATTAATAAAAGTTAATAATCAATATTGTTATTGTATTAGCTTAGCATAATATTCTTTGTATCTTTTTTCTAAAAAAATAAAGATATAAAACTTGTTATAGACATATTTTTAATATTGTAAACAAGCTGCTATTCTGTTAATTACAAAAACTATCAAACAAAAACTAAATAAGCTTTGAACTAGTATTGATTACTGAAATCTTTTTGACCAAATCTAAAAGTTTCAGGTTTCAGATTATAGTTTCTAAAACCCTATCTGAAACTCAAAACTTTACCTGAAACCTGAAACCTTATCTGAAACCTAAAACTCTACTTGAACCCAAAAATATTTCCTAAATCTAAATTTCATCTAAAATCTGAAATTTTATTTATAGCTATTTTTATAAATTTTGAAATATCTGACAAAAAATTTGCTAAATGATTTTTTAGCTAATTTGATTAAGTTATTAATTTGGCATAATATATCAATATAAAATTTAAGATTAGGTGACTAATACAAAATTTTTATAAAATTTTTGTTTAAATTATTTGAAATAGTTTTAATTTTTTAAACAAAGGTTTATTTTTATACTATTTTATTAGTTATATTAAAAATAAAAAAGTTTAATTAAATGTTTATCTTATAAAAAATATATAATATCTAATAAACATTATATAAATATTTAATACAGAATCAATTTGTCAAACAAAAGTTAGATAATTTTAGAATAATTTTAAAAATTTATATATATTAATTTGTAATCTACCAGTAAACTAGTGAAAAACTATAGTAAACTTTGGAATATATTTACTATATAAATTTTGTTTTTTCTGAAATCTAAAATTTTCTAAAAAAAAATTTTTCTTATTAAGTAAACCTCTTTTTAACACCTGAATAAAGTTGTAAAAGAGTATTTTGCAATTAGAATAACAATTAAAACATTAAATTCAGTCTAGTAAATTATAAAATATAAGCATTTTAGTTTTTATAACTATATGTTTTCTTCTTTATTTATATAAAAAAGAAAATATATAGTCACAAAGACTAAAATATCTATATCTTGTGATTTATTAGACTGATTTTAACAGTTTAATTGTTATTTGATTGCAAGACACTTTTCTACAACTTTACTTAGATATTAAAAAAGGTTTACTTAGTAAAAAAAACTTATTCTTTAAAAAACTTTAAATTCTAAAAACAATAGTAAATTTTTTACTTTAATTATATTTTGTTACTAGTTTATAGACAGACTATGAATTAATTATTAAAATTATTATTAAATATAATTAATTTTTATAATTTTTATTTAGATTATTAATAAAAATTTTTAGTTATAACAAATAAATTTGTTAAAACAATTATTTGTAAAAAAAGAAAAATTTTTTAATAATATTATAGAGTTGCTATTTCCATCCCTATTTTTGCTATTGCCACCTCCTATATATTAAAAGGTGCACCAAAAGAGGTATTGTTATTAAGTAAACCTTTTTTTGGTCTTAATAAAAGTTGTTTATCAGGCCTTTCTGGTTCTAATAGATAAATCATTAAGTTAAACTAATAGTTTTTTTTAAATATAAATAAAAGTTAACTAATTACAAATATAAATATTTTAGAAATTACTAGCCCAATTTTAATAATTTTACTATGGTGCAGGAAGTCTTAACTAGCCATTGTTTCAATTTTCTATATGCAGTGTAATCTAAATTAGCCAATCAGATTA